GAGGCTGTTTAAGAATCTACCACTTTCTACCATTTGCAATGTTTTTTTCCACCTATTTTTTTTCCTCTTTCTCTTTCTTTAAAAAGCCTTTGTATTCTATTATTCAATTTATTTATTTCATAGTTTGCCCAACTTTGACTTATTTCTGGAACATTTAAGGAAACTGCCTGATCTTCTAGATCAGCGGGGGGGTTAAGGGAGAGGGAATAGAAAAAAGGAAACCTAGTTTTAGATAAAAGGATTTGAGTCCAGTTGCTTATTTTTAGCACCTTCATGGATAAAGACATGCTATGAACTGAGATCCTGAACTCTATTATAAGTGATTTAACATTGAAGTTGTACAAATTTGGTCAAATACTCCTATGATTGCTAGTTTCCTGAACTATAAAGTGGGTATGACAACGTTTATCAATTTAAATCTAATAGGAGAAATTCTTAAAAACACATTGGGTATAAGGGATTCAGAGAAAACATATCCATAAGCTTCCTGACAGTATTTTGAAAACTGCTATAGACACATCCGTATTTTCCTGTATAATTATGAAAACTAGCTTAAGCTAATAAAAGTATTTGCCATCTTATTTCCAAGAAAACTAAAATGGAATTGTCAGAGACAATGATGAAAGCCCTTTTAGAAATAAGTAAGAAGGGGCGCCTGGGTGGCTCAGTCGGTTGAGCGTCCGACTTCGGCCCAGGTCACGATCTCGCGGTTCGGGAGTTCGAGCCCCGCATCGGGGTCTGTGCTGATGGCTCAGAGCCTGGAGCCCGCTTCGGATTCTGTGTCTCCCTCTCTCTCTGCCCCTCCCCTGTTCATGCTCTGTCCCTCTCTGTCTCAAGATAAATAAAAACATTAAGAAATAAGTAAGAATAAGCAATGTATATGTATCAGCCTCCTAAAGATTTAAATATGTTTTTCAGAGCATAGTCCCCCAGAAATATGACTTCCAACATCATCTGGTTCAGTAACTGCTCCAACAACCTCAAGAGAAGTCAGTCCTGCTACCACTTCTCCTCACAGGAAGAAAAGAAAAAAACATTCTTCTCCCTGTCCCATCCAAGTGGATGGATCACTGCTGCTTTTCTCTTTGTTCAGTCTTTCTTACAGAGGTTTGCCAAGTTCTGATGTGGTTCACTGCTGGAAGTGGTTATGGCCAAAGAAGGTCAGAGAACTCAGCTACTGAGCAGGGACAGGGATGTGCTTGGGAAAGACACAGGCTGAGATTCAGGTCGCCTCTTGGGAGATGATTTGCGTTTACTGGATACTTACTGTTTATTGGTATTCAAACTTTTCTACGGTCTTTTATAATGTTCTAAATTAAAAACAGTATTTTAAACATCTTAAAGGTGATTTGCAATTTTTTAAAATAAAAATGATCCAATTATCCTATAAACAGAATTGCCATCTTCTGTAAATAGAACTGGCAAGCATTTCATCAGTCTTAAAATATCACATCCCTTGATTTCCCACCACCCTCCTACCAATGCCTCCCTTTCCTTCTCTGAGCTCCTTAAAGCAGCACTCCAGAATGCTCTAGGAGGACCTATGTGTCCCATGTTAATGCTAAAGAGACTCGCAGAAGATGGCTTGTGGAGGTATCCAAGGCTTAGTGTTTTTCATGGGCTGTCATGAATGCTGCCAGATTTCTTAGTTTCCTTTGTTCTCCATAGCTTATAGATTAAGGGACTAGAACTTTAGATAATGGGTAAAATAGCAAAATTTGAACCATACGTAGCATCTTAAGCTTCAGGACTTACCTAGATTATTCTATTGTCCTGAGCACAAGACAAGCAGGAGCTGTCTTACAAAGCTGGAAGCAGGGCTTTCCTGCATAAGGCGAGGAGGAAATAATGAAATATTCTGATGCTTTAGTAAAATCCTGACTAATTTTACTTTGCTGTAATTGGCACAATCACTCCTTATAGAAGCCCTCAACTTCGACTTTGAGCAATTCTCAAAAAAGGTACTTCCACCCTCTCACCATCTGCATGGGCAGTCAATGGAATTCTGAAATATAAACAGCCACTTGGATGTTTAATTATACTGTAGAAGTGCCTGGAAAATGAGCAAAGATTAAGACTCCCAGGGGGCACTTTGGTGGCTCAGTGGGTTGAGCATCTGACTCTTGGTTTTGGCTCAGGTCATGATCTCACGATCTGTGAGATGGAGCTCCTCCTTGGGCTATGCATTGACAGTGCAGAGCCTGCTTAGGATTCTCTCTCTCTCTCTCTCTCTCTCTCTGCCCCTGCCCCACTCACACCCACATGCACCTGTGCACTCTCTCTCAAAATAAATAAACATAAAAAAATAATCCCAGTTTCCCTGTGTGTGGTACAGCCATATTTATTGTGGTGGAACTATTTAAATCCATCCATACCTACCCCTATAAGTATATACCTATAAAGCAGTGATTGGTATTTATCTACAACTACAAATTTCTCCCGTCTTCCATATGAGAACCTGGAATCCCTAGCCAGGGACAGTATCGCCTGGAATAAAGATTCTTTTTTTGAAAGTTTATATTTGGGGGCGCCTAGGTGGCTCAGTCTGTTGAGCGTCCGACATTAGCTCAGGTCGTGATCTCGCAGTTTGTGAGTTTGAGCCCCGTGTCGGGCTCTGTGCTGACAGCTCAGAGCCTGGAGCCTACTTTGGATTCTGTGTCTCCTTCGCTCTCTCCCCTCCCCCACTTATGCTCTGTCTCTATCAAAAATAAATAAAATATAAAATTTTTTAAGTTTATTTATTTGGATAGAGAGAGAGCATACATGCAGGCGAGGGGCAGAGAGATAGAGAAAGTGAGAAAATCTCAAGTAGGCTCCGCACTGTCAGTGAAGAGCCTGGTGCAGGGCTCAAACTCACAAACTGCGAGATCATGACCTGAGCTGAACTGAAGAGTTGGATGCTTAAATGACTGAGCCACCCAGGTTCCCCTGGAATACAGATTCTATTTCCTAGGCTCCTTTGACAGATGTGGCCACATTACTAAGTTCTGGTCACTGTTAGCAAAAGAAGTTTGTGACATATCTGCAAAGGATCCTTAAAAGTGAGAGGTTACCCTCTCTTGCCTAGACTGTCTATTTTATAGGTGGAGCACCAGCAGCTACCTTGGACAACAAAGTGACCAACCTTGAGCATAGAAGTCAAATGCTGATAATGGAGAGCAGGAAGACCTGGGCCAGGTCCCTGATGATACCCCAGGGAGTCACCAGACCCCCCTCTCACTACCTACCCAGATTTTTTACACAAAAGAGATAAAAACATCTTTCTTTCCGAACCTCTTTTACCAGTGTGAAGCTGATTAATGGAAACTGAACAAAATGTTAACTGATATGCCTGTCATATATAGTCCAAGGAGACTGTCTGCTCTGGACAAGAAATTTAACTTCCCTCCTCTGCAGAAATTTCTTTACTCCTCTAAAGATTATACAGCCAAAGAGAACCCATAAGAAAATAGTAACCCTAGCATCATTCCCACAAAAGCAAAGGCTTGAGATCAGCTCTATTTTGCCCATTGTCACCAACCCCAGGTAGACAATCTACCACTTGAAACCTCACTGAAACAACACACTAGGTTTATGATGTAGACCACTGCACATCAGAGACTGGGAAGAGGCCACTAACTTCATCATTTATGCCACAACCAAAGGGGTCCCTGTAGTATAGTCATGGCATCGACGCACATAACTACTAACTTTTCTTGTTTCATTATTGTAATTAATAATACATTATAAGGATGATAATGATATACTGGGACAATGCCTTCTGATTTTACAAGTCCTCATGGGTGTAGTAGGGTCTTAAATATAAAACAATATTAATAATAGTGACAACAATAGATATCACTTATTGTTCAGTGTCATATGACTACTGGGGTACTATTTGGCTAACACTCTGCCAGACACATATCTGGAATTCAAAATATTATTATCTTTATTTTACAGAGGAGGAAACCGAGGCTCTGAGAAATTAATCAATTTAGTTAAGACTATGTAGCCAGTTCATGGGGGTGATTAATGCTAAATCCAGAATTGTCTACGAGCTTAGAAATAATTTAGCAGCACAACCATTACTCTCAAAATGTTAGATAAAATAATCTTTAAAAAATCTGTTTTTCTCACTTCAGAACTACAATAAGACACTCTAATCTTACCTCCATTTTCCATTAACATGAGCATTTCTTAAAACAAAACAAAAGAACAAAAAGCCTGATAGAATTTGTCCACAAATGGTAAGCAGTGCTAGAATACAAATGAAGCAAATCACTAAAGGGTTTTTTTTTTTTCCTCCAGAATTTCACCTTTTGTTAACAGTTTCAATTTCAGGGTGACCTATATGTTTCCATAACAAGGGTCACTATGTACCTTTTAATCCATGAACATCAAAACAAAAAGAAACCCCTATGATGGCATGTTCTTGTGTAATTACACCTCTTCATGCTCTTCCTTTTGAAACAGGTCGGACTTATTTCCCACCTCTTTCTTCAGCTTCCATTTTAATAAAAGAAAATAACACTGAAAGAAACCAAGCCCTTAAAACATTCATTGAATACATCAAGCAATTTATCTAGGACTCAAACAATAAATGAGTCAAACACAAGTGAGAGGAAGAAATGAATCTTTCTATTAAAAATAAGATATGTGTATGTTTGTGAGCTATCTCTATTTAAATAAAGATCTATATAAAAGATGGTAATCAAAAGCTTATCATTAGAATAGTTAATATTTTCATGGACTGCTGAAACCTAAAAAATTAAAATATGCTCATGAGAAGGAAGTCAAATAGAAGGTTAGAGCTCCCTCTCTCTTTTTCTTGAAGAAATTCACCAAAACCGCTTTCCTAGGAGACCCAAGTTATCAAGCAGACAGCTGAGTAGCACTCATGCTCAGTGTTTCCACAGTCTCCATACACTTGCTACAAGGATTAGAGTACATTTACTGACAGTTCATTATTCGTAAGAGATTTAAGTAGTAGAAAGAGCACTTTTAAAAGTAGAAATACTCACAAAGCCATTTCAAACTGTTCCAGCCATTTTTTCTTTAAATCTTTTGTTTTGCAATAAAATTCTAACCCATTTTGTCCTTGGGTATGGATGAGGTAGAAGCCGTAAGACCACTGTTAAAATTAATATTCTGCAGGTTAATATGCATCATTCAGTAATAACATCATGCTTCCAAATTCACTAAAACACCACCATAATCATCCACAAACTTCTCATAACATATCAGCATACAAATTATAAAGAACCACATTTTTGTAGTTAACTTTACATCCATCAGTTTCTACAACCAACACATTTTACTTGACCATCAAGGCATTAGAGATGATCATTATCAGTTGTGGGACTGTCTATTTTTCACAGAGGCTTACTCCTAATAAATCTCTAGAAAGAAAAAAACACCTGCATTGATATGCCCTCTCATAGTAATGTATTAGCATGCTTTCCTGGAATATTCAAAGTTATGAGTAAATTACAGTAATTAATTTTCAAAACTTCACCTTTTTATTTTCTTTATCAGTTGTAGGATTGTTGGCTATTTTGTACTGCTGAAGATCTATTATTTCCTTCATTTCATAGTTATCGCCTTTCCTTTTACATACAATCACTGCCAAATCAAACAGGAAGATATGCCTGAGAGAGAGAGAGGGAGAGATTTCAAATGGTTTGGAAGCACGTATGTTAATTTTTCCCTGATAAAATGTAATTAAACCAACCCCAAATTTTTCCTTTGAGTTAATGACAAAGGCAGTGTTGCACATTGCAAAGAATGAACTGTGTCTGCCCCGGCACTACCCTTTACTGAATGTAGGGCCTTAGTCTACCTCAGTTTCCCCATTTAAAACATATACAAAATTATAGTAAGAAAAGGCACGCTACAGAGCTGCTGTAAAGAACAACTGAGATTAGCCACAAAGCATTGTCCATGAGCAATTATTTTTTTTTTCATTTAAAAGCTTAACATTTACAGAATACTGATGACAGCAATAGCAGTTAACTTATGATGTTCCTAGGAATCAGCCAGAAAAGTACTGACAAGTGTCCATCCCTTTGACAAAGATGACTCACTTAAAATAAATCCCCAGGACCATCTACTGAAGTATTATTTTCATCCTCATTGTATGAGGGAGGAAACTGAGGCTTAACGAAGTTAATTGATTTGCTCAAGGTCACACTGCTTGTGAGGTGCAGAGCAAGATTCATACCCAGATCTAATTGTGGAATCTGCTCTTTTACCCTCTTTTATGGACCACCTAAACCACAAATTGAGCAGTGTATGAGCAAAATGAAAACTAAAAAAATTATGATTAAATTTATGTGTTGATATTTCTCTTTCTTTTCAAAGATAATGTAATTGGGGGAGAACAACAAACTTTGTAATTCCTATTTCCAATACCAGTACTTGCATCTTTTCAAAAAGTCTCAGTAATTAATACGCATAGACCTTAAAAATAATAATGACAATGATACATTCATGTAGCTCTAATACTTGCATCACCTGCAAAGACAAATTTTCCTGGAGAGGCTAAAAAGTATCTATGTCTCCTGGGAACTACCTGTAGAGCCTGGGTATCAAGTTGGAAGCGAGAGCTGACACTGCCCCCTGCTGGCTGACTTTCTCATTGCAAAGATTCCAGAAAATGGCCTTTTCAACCAAATCAATCAGTTTAATAATCATACGTATATAATTTGGAATACCAGGCCAAGCTCAGTAACCTAAATTTCCCTCAAGAATATTCACATATATTAATTGGCCCTCCCTTAGACTACCTTCTTAGGACATTTTATATTTTTAAGTTAAAGTGTATACCAAAAAGAGAAGTCAAGCAATTGTATTTTTACAGTAGTTATCAATTGCTTTATCTCTACTCTCATCTTACTGTGTCCCTTGAGCCCCAGCTGACATTCTCTATTTGTCATATCCCTCTTAATAACTTAGACAAATCAACAGATACCAGAACCGAGAAACATATCTATGAGAAAATTGTAGAAAACCATAAGTTGGTCTGTCCCCTTATTTTTCTTCTCCTTTTTCCCTCCCTTGTCCTGAAAGAACTGTTTTATCAATCTTCTGATACTAACCACTTATTTTGAAAATAACTATTGCTCCTCTTTTCTCACCTTTCTTGCTTTGTATGCTTGTCTAGAGTGGTTATGCGAATTTCACCATCTCCCTGAGGTCGTCCAAAAAGCAAAACTGGTTGGTTCTAAAACATAAAATTTACATGTCTCAGGTTTTTTTTTTCTTTTTTGTAAACATATAAAAACAGAAAGAAATATTTGCTAGGGACAGCTACCTTATTACACTATAAGTTTTATCATTTTGCATTTTTAGCATGCTTACTGCAAAAAGTTCAGGTCTATATGATACGCTTTCAAAACAGTCTGCCCTTGGACATCCTAGAAGGTACACTGAAAACATTAATTAATTTTATTTATAGTCTTAAGAGGAAAGTTAGCTACCAAAAGCAAGAATTAACTGGAAGAATCCAAATCACAACAAAGATATACCAACTAATACTTATTAAGCACCCACTGTGTGCCAGACACTGTAGAAGATATAGGGCAAAATGTTGCCTGTGCCCAGTGGGGGAAAAATATTCACACAAGTATATAATTATAGATGTGCAGTTGCCATGAAGAAAGAGTACAGGAAAAATGCATTGCCAGGGGCTCAATATGGTCAAGGGAGTCAAGGATGGCTTCCTTTAGCTAAGATCTCAAGAATGAAAAGTATGACTTAATGATTAAAAACAATGAACCATTTCCCCAGAGGCAAACAATAAAAACGTTAAGTATTTATGAACACCTACTGTATAAGGTGCTGAGGGAAAAAGAATTGACTGAAAATTATCACTAACATCAAGGAGATTACATTCTAATAAAGGAAGCAGATAGGTAATTAATTAACTTGCTGCAAGAAAGTATAAAAATAGATGTTCCCTAGCAAACTCCCAAGATGTGTTTTGCAGAAATAGAAAACTCCATCCTAAAATTCATATGGAATCACAAGGGACCCTTAATAGGGGAACCAGTCTTGAAAAAGAACAAGGTCAGGGTCTTAGTCTTCCTGATTTCAAAACTTATTACAAAACTCTGGTAACAAAAACACTGTGGCACCTGCATAAAGACAGACTGCTAGACCAATGGAATAGAACATTTGGAAATAGGCCCTCATATATATATGGTCAAATGATTTTTGACAACAGTACCAAGACCATTCAATGGGGATAGGAGAGCCTTTTCAACAAATGATTCTGGGAAACTGGATATGCATAGGCAAAAGAATGAAGTTGGACCCTTACCTTGTACAATATACCAAATTGATCCAAGGGTTAAAAATATAAAACTCTTAGACAAAAACATAGGGGAAAATTTTTATGACATTAGATTTAGCAATGATTTCTTAGATATACCACCAAAACCAACAAAAGAAAACCCAGTAAGTTAAAATTCTTTAAAATTAAAAATTTTGTGCAAAGGACAGTATCAACAGAGTGAAAAGGCAGCCTCCAGAATGGTAGAGAATATTTGTAAACAAAATGTGTGATAAGAATTGATATCCAGAATATACAGAGAACTCCTATAACTCAACAAGCAACCCTTATCCAAAAACAGGCAAAGAACTTGAATAGGCAAAGAACTTTGTACATCTTTCTGCAAAGAGATATACAAATGGCCAATAAGTATATGAAAAGATATTCAATATCCCTAATCATTAGGGAAATACAAAAAATCAAAACCATAATAAGATACAACTTCATACACATTTGGACGGATATTATTTTCAAAAGAAGAAAAAAGAAGAAAAGAACAAGTGTTGGTGTGGATTGGCATGTTCCACTTCTGGGTATATAACCAAAAAAAGTGAAAGCAGGGACTGGAGCATGTATTCGCACACCCATGTTCATAGCAGTACTATTCACAACAGCCAAAAGGGGTAAGAAACCGAAGTGTCCACAGAGATGAATGGATAATCAAAATGTGAGGTATATACAACTAATGTTACACTTTAAAGCCTTAAAAAGGAAATTATTTTAAAAAGAAATTCTGATACAAGCTACAAGGTTGAACACTGAAGACATTATGCTAAGTAAAATGCACCAGTCACAAAAGGACAAATATCACATGATTCCATTTATATGAGGTACCTAGAGTAGTCAAATTCACAAAGACAAAAAGTAAATGGTGGTCGCCAGGGGCTGGGAGGAGGGGAGAATGGAGAGTTAGTGTCTAATGAGTACAGAACTTCAGTTTTACAAGATGAAGAGAGTTGTGGAGATGGACGGTGGAGATGGCTGGCTGCCCAACAACATGAATATATTTAATGTTACAAAACTATACACTTTAAGATGGTAAATGTCATACATATTTCACCACACACACACACAGAGCTGTCCAGGCAATGTGCTATGCAATTACAAAGAGAAAGTAATAATAGGAGATTATGGAAAGAATTATTTTAGTTGGACCTTGAAGGAATATGATAGGAAATAATGGGAAGACATTCTAGGCTCTGACATTATTATGATCAAAGGCAGAACTATAAAAATGTACAGCAAATTAGAGACCTTACGACACAGCAGGACACCTGCAAAGTAAAGTATGTGGGCAGGTATTAGCTGGATGAGTTCAGCAAAGTAGTTTCAGCCCAAATCATTGAGGGCTTTAAATATCATGCTAAGGATTGTTGACTGAATCCTGAAGGCAACAGCAAATACTGACAAGTTAGGGATAGAGAATGAACTGAGAAGTCCACCTTTTGGAAATGCAAGTTGGTGACGGGATGATGAGAGGCTTCTGTGGTTGGAAAGGTGGCAGATGAGGTCCTGAAAGGAGAACGTGACTATACATGTGAAAAGGAAGGCTCAAGATGTTTCAGAGAAAGCATCAGTAAAATTGCTCCACTAAGAAAAGTATCTTTCCTTCATTCATCCATCTCTGTTTTTGCTGCTCACAGCTTAATCCAGGCCTCTACCATCTCTCTTTTCTTTTTTAAATTATTTTTGTTTTATTTTATATTTGAGAGAGAGCAAGCACATGAGAGAGCAAGCGAGCGTGGGTGCATGAGTGAGCATGAGCAGGGAAAAGGCAGAGAGACAGAGACAGAATCTGAAGCAGGCTCCAGGCTCTGAGCTGTCAGCACAGAGCCCAACACGGGGCTCCAACTCACGGACCACCATCATGACCTGAGCCGAAGTTGGACACTTAACCAATTGAACCACTCAGGCGCCCCAAGACCATCTTGCTCTTGAAATCACCTCACAACTTTCCAGCAGGGTTTTCTTTAAATGTAAATCAGACTGAAACCTTTACTAGCTTCCCCCTGTAATGACTGTAAAATCCCAGCTCTGTGCCCTGGCCTACATTGCTGGGGGACATAGCTCTCCTGCCCCCCCTACCTCCTGCCCACCTCTCCCCCACTTCAGAGCCCATGATTTTTCTCCTCATTCACAATTCCCAACTCCTCTGGCCCATCTATGGCGATTTCATTTGCTATGGCTTCTGCCTGGAATCCTCTCCCCCAGATCACTGTACCACTGGCTTTCTTCTTATTCTTCAGGTTCAAGAGGCAAATGACTCCCTTCCCTTATGTTCAACTGTTTTGTATCTTAAAGTCCTCTTATGAGTGAAGTCATATGATTTTTGTCTTTCTCTGACTAATTTCACTTAGCATAATACCCTCCAGTTTCATGCACGTAGTTGCAAATGGCAAGATTTCATTCTTTTTGATTGCTGAGTAATACTCCATTGTATATATATACCACATCTTCTTTATCCATTCATCCATCGATGGAAACAAAAATAATATAAAAATAGGGAGGGGGACAAAACAGAAGAGACTCATAAATATGGAGAACAAACTGAGGGTTACTGGAGGGGTTGTGGGAGGGGGGATGGGCTAAATGGGTAAGGGGCACTAAGGAATCTACTCCTGAAATCATTGTTGCACTATATGCTAACTAATTTGGATGTAAATTTTAAAAAATAAAAAATAAAAATAAAAAAAAAAAGAGGCAAATGACTCAAGGAGTTTCTCTAATCATCTTACCTAAACTAGGATTCCCTTGATTATCCTCTGTTGCCCCACCCAGTTCACAGCAGGAATCTCCACAGAGCATTTTGAAAGTGTCTCCTCAATCAAGAGACCATGTTTTTCACAGTGAGAGCCCCAGCCCCAAGCCAATGTCTGGCACACAGCAGTCACCCAGTAAATATAACTAAGATGAATAAATTAACAGGAAATCGGCCATGACTATGTATAGCGTAAGGGAAAGAAAAGAAAAAAATGCACTCTAATGTTTAGAATTTAGACTGCCAGGGGAAGAGTCATTGTGTGATTAAGGAGAGAGGGACAAGCAAGGGCAGAAAGTCCTGGGACACGATATACATATCACAGGTGCCACGGGAAATCCACGGGGATGCTGCCAAACAGGAATTGCAAAAAACCCTGAACAACAGAAACTTCAAGGTAAACTATCTTTGCTTCAAAAACAACTTGTAGAATGTCCTCTGATTTGTGGGTTAGGAAAGCTGGAAGGAATGATAATTACATACCAGATTTTCTATAGATAGCTGAAACTGTTTAATTTCACGAAGGGTCTCATTATCTCTTTTCACTTCATTCACATATTGTGCCAAGTCCTAAAGAATAAAGGGAAGGGTACAAAAAGAAGTCACGATAAGACTGGAAAAGAGATGCAAACTGTTTGAAAGAAAACACATCATTAATTTCATTAGTGGTAAAAGTAACCACCATAACTTTTCCATGACAATAAAAATGAATGACCCATCAATCAAAACTGCAGCTCAAAAGCAATTTCAAAATGTCTGCAGTACAGCTGCAAAGACGAAAGAGTTGTCATTTGCCACACCTCGGAGAAGAGCAAGGATGAAAAACAAAAACAGACTATGACACGGTGCGGAACAAAAGGAAACTAGGTCAGGAGAATGCAAATTCCAAACACGTTAATAACTGACCTTGAGAGAATCACACTTTTACATGGGTTAGAATAAGGGTAACAATGCAATAATGAATGCTTAGCAGGGACAAAAAAGTAAAAGTTAGACAATGAATCCAGCTGGACTGTTTTCTGCAACCAGTTAGTGTATTAGTTCCTGAGAGCATTCAGTCAAGTCAGCCAGTTCAATTTTAAAGAGTTAATGAAGGAGAAGAAAAGGAGAAGACAGAAACCCACGGGCACTAAAATGGAGTCAAGCAAACAAACAATGCTGGACACGTTTCTCCATGGGCCTTCTTCACCTACTTTAAAATGTCTTTTCTCATATTTGAGGAAACATTAGCTAATCTTTCCATACTGTAAGTAGCTATTTTTATTACATGTGCTCTAGATTTTCCTGTTTTCTGGGTTTTCTTTTTTCTCTACCCTCTTAAATTAATTCATCTGCAACAGCAGGAACAGAACTCTGACAAAAAGCAGTTCCTAACTTTGTTCTAAATGAAAGTCTGACGTTCCATAGGATTTATCTATTAACGATTTCTTTAAAAAGTGGAAATTTGGTATGAATTTCTAAAATAACAAATAGTTGTGCGATGTCTCCTAACGGGGTACTAAAATCAGCCCAATAGCGGAGCTAACACTGAAACTGGCACAGGGACATGGAGAAGTAATTAGCATTTTGCTCTATTGCTTCTGGGCCTTTTGGCTAAGATCAAGTACAGTAATTAGCATTGCTCTGATGACAGTCACACTGGCATTTTGTTCTTAAGAACAAATATTTGTTTATGTTTTAAGTTAGGGGCAAATATTTCTTTCAAAGTCAGAGTCCAGCACAAAATATAAACTGGGGTTTTACAGATTCCCCAGTATGTTTAAAAGTCTGTCTTTGTCCACTTGTAGTTCTTGATTTTCAGATTTACCTAGACATAGAAACCCAGACTGAAATCCACTTGTACTGATGCACAGCATCCACAAGGGTAAACCAGGCAGATATCCTCACTCGAGGAAAATAAGTCACACCACTGTTCTGAAGTCACCAGCTGACTTGCTGCTTACACAAGCCGACAGTTTTCTATTAGTAACCACAAAAAGAATGTGAAATAAAACCCTTATATTAAATCATTCCCAGTGGTTATAAAGGTTGTCATACTTTCATAAATAACAAGTTATTTTAATACACCTCTTGGTTTTATGTGTCTTTGTCTAACAATTAAATCCATGCAAGGGTATCTATTTCAGTTAAAAATATTCAGCTCTCCCCACCTAATACAAAACCATACAGATACATATACACGCGTGCGCGCGTGCGCGTGCGCGTGCGCGCGTGCGCGCACACACACACACACACACAATATACATTAGCATATCATACATATGTATCAGCAGTTTGTATTCTATCATTTTTTTAGGCAAGGATAAAAAACACAAAGAAGTTCATGGTACATTTGCCTTACCTTCATCGCATCAAGAGCCAGTTTCAGATTTGCCTTCTCCATAGGATCAGTGGTATGTTTGACCAGTTCCTATTTGGAAGATACAGTTTAGTGCTACTTTCATCAATTAAAACCAAAATATGAGAAACAGAACATTTAAAAACTAAACCATTTTTAATACTATTTGCACCATAATGTAATAAGTCTGATGTAATTTAACTAGGTTCTATTTTCATAAAAATATCTCTATCTGTAAGAAGACCAACCAGACAGCAAAAGAACATGAGATGATGGTTGAAAACACTCTCCTTTCAAAGATGATCTATCCCGCACGGTAACACTGACATCCTTCCCAAATGTCATGAAAGATCCTCTCATTGCCAACTGATTCTGATGTCTACTCCTCTCCCTTGGCTTTGGGGACAATTAGGATCACTTGTTGGCTGCTATTATTATTGTCTCTGAGTCCTTCTTAAATTTCCTCCTATTCACTAGTCTTTCATACTTTCTTCTTTATCTGTACCTTGGAAAGTTACTATTTCCTAGATTTTCACCTTAGTCTTTTGTTATTCTTACTTTACTTATTCTACAAATTCTATCACAACTGTCGCCATAATGTCAACACACTCACTAATAAGACAATCACTCTCAAAGGAATGTGCTCAACCCAGAATTCATGCCTGAGTTCCAGACTCTTCCGTCCACCTACATAGTTCTACCTGGTTATCTCACAAGCCCATCTAACCCAACAACTCCCAACTTAGGGCACCTTCACCCACAACTCTCTTCTGGTTCCTGTTTACATTCTATTGAATGAGGCACCTTCATCAGTAGAATCACTTAAGCCAAAACCTATAAAGTGTCCCAGGAACCCCTCTCTCATACTATGTTCTGCTGATACAGACTTTTATCTTTTCCTTGGAAACCATCCTCACTGCCACTACATTGGTGCAAGTCCTTACTCTTTTCACATGGGTCATTATAAATCAGCTTCTGATTAATCTTCTGACTTGTAGCCTCTCTGGACTACAAGCTATTTACTCTACTGACATCAAAGCTAGTTTTCTAATATATAAATCAGATCCTGTCTCTACCCTCTTTAGACTTCTGTAATGCCTGCAAAAGCTTCAGGTTGTTAACTACACCTCTTAGACCCTTCATGGTCTGAATTCTGCCAACCTCTCCCAACTTTTCTTTCCCACCCCAACAACTCCACCCAAACCACCTATATTCTATCCATACTAAATTAACTGCAATTCTCAAAATACATTCTAACGGCTGATCCCATTAAGCATGTGGTTTTGCTCTCCTTAGAAAGCCGTTCCTCTCTGATGCACCTAAAGGAACTCTTACTGTTCCCTGCACAGCCAGATCAAGAATCACTGTACAGCGAAGCTTTCTATGACAGAGGTCTCTACAAGTCCCCATCCTCCCCAGGCATAGTTAACTAGACCTTTATTTGTACTACCTCCATACTTTCTGCGTACCTATCATATCATACGGTACCTGGCAGCTTACACTTCATTTTCCCTACCTAAACAGTGAGCTTTATCAGTGCACGGGGGGAGGGGGTGCTGTTTAATATCATGAATGCCTAATCCTGTCTGTCAAACAGGGAGCCACTCAAAATTTTTGCTGACTTCAATACCATTAATGTTTCTAGTTATAAAGAGGACCTACAGACATCAGATCTGTTACGTATAAGGTTGTCCAAGTAGTATTCTTTCACTTTGATTTTTGCTTTTCCTTTATCAAATAATGAGTGTAAATTATTCTCAAAGTTTCAAATTCTCCACTTTCATTCTGATTTTATAAATATGTAACTTCAAATCATAAAGCATTTCAAAAATTATTTCCCCACTAAAGTATAGGAGGAAGTAGGAAATGTTCAAATTAATATCACATTTATTCAACAAATTTCTAAACATTAGATAAATACATTGTACACTATCAAGATGGAAAAACATTTGTAGAATTTTTATCTTCATATGGTATCCCAAACAAAAATTTTCCTATTTAAAAAAATTCATCATAGAACTAAACATTCTTTTGAAATTTAAAATAGAAAACAATCCAAGAGAAATTAAGGCAAAAGTCTGAATTTCAAAAAGGTATTGCCATATTTTATACTTCTGTAAGCCTAAAACTTTATAAATGACCAAGATAGATGTTTCTTGAAAACTGTACCTTTTAAATTCTTCATTTGCTATTTGACCATACCAAAGTTACAAAATAAATTATTAGCTTATTTTGGACATGTTTTTTAGTTCCATGATGTCTCAGAAACCGATTGCTTAAGTCTTCCTTATTATTTTTTCATAAAATCCAATTTGATTAAGTTGCTTTGAGTTTAGGTCTCATAAATGTTTTAATGTATTTTAAAGAAATAATCAGGGCTTGAATTCTTCTGATTTCTCAGTAGAACAAAAATAGAGATGACTAATAATTTTGCAACTACAGATCAAGAAATTTAATATACAAGATGTATAAAGCACGGCAGACTCAAAATTATATTTCACATACAGGTAGTAGATCTTTTTAAAATTACATTTTGCAAGCATCAGCAGAGTTGACAGACTAATACTGTGAGACATTTCCTTGGAGCAGAACTAATGAGTCTCCTGGTACAGCTATCAAATTAAATTTATAAGACTCTCCACCCTCATTAGAGGACTAACTGTGGAAACCATAAGCTTCGTGGTTATAAAAAGAATCACTTCAAAATAAATGTAGTCTTATTATAATTTACCCTAGCAGAAAGCAACAAAGAAGGTGACACAATTCTCTTCAGTTTATGGTTATAAGGCACAAAGTCCAAAACACTTAACCTGCCAAAATTCAAGTGTATTACAACAGTGAGATTCTAATAAATGATTATAGCTAACCAAAGACTTGGTTAAAGGGATCTTTTCATTTTGCCTTTTTTTCCCCCTAATTCTTTGGGGGCCAGTTCTGTTTGAAGGACACAAAATATGACTTTGTGGAAGATAACAAATGAATCTTTGCTAAAGGAAGAAAAAGTTTCCAGCTGTTCTGTTATTTCCCACTTAGCTATACTAATCATTGAAAATCATAGGGGGATATGGCCCCAAACATGGAGTATCTGGAGCATAATTGGTGCTTCATGAATATTTGGTTAAATGAATAAACAAAACAGATAGTTTTAAGTTACATACCTGGAGAAGAAGGTGATACTTTAAAACCCGTTGCATAGGAACCACAAGCAAATCTCGAAGAGTGAATTTTCCATTATTCGCTCTTTTGGAACATTCCTAATGAAATGTTTTTTAAAAACTTTTAAAAAAAAACTTTGCTTTATCAAAGGGAGTCATAAAGCCAACATTAAAAGATGCAGAGGCCATAAACAAAACTGTTATTATATAATAAATATTTTGTTGCTTTTATTAATAATCCTTTCTAAAAAATAGAAAGTATCTAATTAAAAAACAAACAACAACAACAACAAATAATCCTTGTAGCATTTCAACCCTAAAATGAATCATTAAGTACAACTGTTTTATGCAATGCAAATTATTTTTCCTAGTGGCCCTCTAGGGTCTTCCTCTACTTACCTTTATAGCTCTACCTTCCACCAACCACCCCCAGGCTAGGCTGAGGGCCTGGCATCAAGAACAAGTCCCTACTTATCAAACTAGCCATGTGCCTTCACCATGGCCATGACTTTGTTCATTCTCTTCTCTCCAACTGCCATGTGCTTTGTCCAGTTTCCAACAAAATTAATCATCCTCTTCAAGAACTATACATCTAAGCCTTTTGTAATAATCCCAATCAAAATTGTGCTCTCTGTACCTTGTGGACATTTTAATGATTGTTGTACATACTATCTTCCCCAATATATTCTGTCTTTTACAGCTTTAAGAATCTAGTGCTTGCTTAATAAATATTTATTAAACTGAAGGAAATGGAATGATTGAGTCTAAAAATTTGCTAAAGTATAAACCTATTATTGAATTCAAACTTTCAAAAGCCTCAAATTTTAGGTTTTTTTTTCATCTCACACTCTTCTTTCTTTAAAGTTGATCTAAAAATAGTACTGACTTGTGTTCACTCTTCTGACATTAACTATAACTTTAAGGAAAGTACTTTGAATTTGAAATACTGAAGCCTGAACTCAAAGTTAGGCAACTCTTGGCTGTGTGACCTTGAACAAGTTGCTTTTCTGATTTTACTGTTTCTCACATATTTGTGATATAGTCTTAAAACAATAAAGTTCCATAAAATTATTATTATTATTAGTGAGAAACTAAATCCAAACTCCTCAGACAATTGTACATCCCAAACCAATGAATTTTCCAGTTCATAAAGAGTTGCATTCAAGAAACCACTGCTTTGTTCATGGTTTGTTTCCCCTTTGCCCACACTTAACTTTTCTGGCACATGGAAGGATATATTATCAGGAGCTATAAAGTAAACACCATTAACTCTAATGACCATAGTGACTTAATGAGTATTTGACTACAGGTCTTAAGCAAGAACTGGGGACACATCGGGACATGTTAGCTCATGTCTTGTCAATTGCTGCAGTTCACTGGAAGAATAACTATTTCAACTGATTTCTTGCTTCTACAGATTATAGAGAGTTCTGGATCATGGGTCTCAAATAGGAGGTTAAACTGTTAAGATTATTGTAATGAATGACTCTCATCGCCCCAGCTGCATTTCAAGCTCCTTAGAACTGAGGTTGTATCTTACACTTCGTGCATATATATGCCATCTTAACAGTGTTAGGAACAGAAATGTTATACATTTAAATTTTGCTTTGTTATGTTATGGAAGTCAGTTTAAAACTGTTGGGGAAATAATTAAGTTCCTTGAAGTTCTAAGTTACAGGCTCAGGAAGTAAAGAAACTAACATTGCAGGCATTTCCTACAACTGGGGGTCTAAGTTTGAGGTGTAAAATGCTTATTAGTATTGAAAGTAAATAAAGGGTAGAATAGAGTCTTCCAATACATCCGGCGACATGCTTCACCAAACTCCAATTTTAACTGAGAAGAAAATAAATGGAATCGGGATGAGCCAGCTTAGAGAACAAGATAAAGAGATTCTGTTACTGTTCGCCCTATGTTATCTTGGTTCCAAAGTAGAGAAGAAAAAGACAAAGACCGACAGGAGCAAAAATCACCACAAACTGAAGACGCGAAGGAAGCAGAGACACCAAGAATAAGGCGGCTTCCCCTTTATCATACCAGGAGTTGCAGAGGACAGTCCCAGCAAAGAGTATCTGTTGAGGTGCCACAGTGTCGGATTAAATACTTGCCAATCAGGCCACTAGTCAGTAGTAGTACCTTCTCAGGCAAAAAACGGGCAGCCAGCAGCCCCTCCCCCTGAGCTTTTCAAACTCAGCCTGAGGTTCTCTCTCTCCCTCAGATGGATAATGACCATAGAAAATATGTTCCTAGAGGCCCAGAGTACGTCATGTGTCATAGGGCAGGACTTTGACAGTGACTCTGAAAGAAGAGAGAAGAATATCCAAACAATACTGAGAGTACAATGGGAGTATGACTAACAACTTGTATACTCTCTTCTGGAGCCAGAACTTTATATATATATATAGTTTTAATGGTAGAACTGATGGCATCTGTTCTAATGGTAGCTCTGTTACGAACTAGTTGTGTAAGTTGTAGAGTTTTATCTTACCATCATAATTTAATTGGAGTCAAGGTACTTTATAGCTCTATGCTTCTGAGGCTCTATTCTCCCAAGAGGAGCAGGAACCTTTTACACTAACAGGGTTATCAGGATGTTATTTAGTGGTGATTCAAGCCACCACCAGACATAAGGTCCACATCATCAAAGGCTTATAAGAGCTAAGGAAAAATGATCCATGGCAGAGAGGACAGTTACCTGGTAGCCTGCTGATGTGTAAACTTTCTAACCACTAGTTCCCCTTTGTGAAAGTTATAAAATCATACCAAATATGCTAAAACAATGAAGGAGTTCTAATTGGAAAACCATCTGCCTCATTTTTTTCCCTTCATCGCCTGACCTCACTGCTGAATTGAGCAAAGACAGCAAAAGGGACACTATAGTGTCAAGTAAGGCAAACACAGCCATTTAAGAGTTGACTGTACGTTTGTACTCAACATTTAAGAAAATTCAAATATATGGATAATCTATTTGAGAAAATTACTCACTTAACACATCATCTTTTTCAAAAGTTCCCTAAAATTGCAAACTCCTATGAGAAAGAAAAATGATGTAAAAAAAAAAAAAAAAAACTGACCACCATTTCCAGATTTATTTTCCATTGTTCCATGTGCTCTGTTTATTCTGGCCTACTCTCCATTTTTCAGACTTTTCCAGATTCATCTGGTCAGTCATGCTTATCTGGTCAGAATACTCTCCAGGGAATCTCACCTGTCAAGACTCTTCCCATTCCCTTGGGGACCTAAATCAAATACTACCTCTTCAGAGAAATCTTCCACATTCTACCTGTGCTGAGGTGATCACTCAGTCTCACTCATGGAGCGCTATAGATTACTGCTTGTCACATACAACTTAATCTTATTTGTGTCTGTCCTGTCTTTCTTCTTATGGGCAATATCCATACCCTTCTTATACACCTTATCCTAAATGTCTTACGTTTTTAATAAACATTTTTCATCTGCATGTACATTATCTCACATATATCTTACTTATCCTGTACTTCTTTCTACCTAGGTGACCCTGAGCAAATTACTTATAATCTCTCTCTGAACCTCAGGTTTCTCATCTGTAAGAGAAGAAAATTAATTGTACATATCTCATAGAGTCATGAGGACCTAATGACATAATGCATGTAAAACACAAAGCCAGAGTCTCAGATTTTACTATTTTATTATTACTATATTATTTCATAGAGCTATTATTTTATAAAACTGACATAAAATTATGTTTAGAATACATGGAAAAATGTACTATTGCACTAATCTTGCAAAGAAATAGATCTATTTTTTCTTATTCTTTTTTTATTTGAGTATAGTGGACATATAGCTTTACATAAGTTTCAGGTGTACAACTTAGTGATTTGACAAGTTTTTACATGATGCTATGTTCACAAGTGTACCTACCCTCTGCCTCGTTACATTGCTATTACAATATCACTCACTGTATTTCTTATGCTGTGCCTTTTATTTCCAGGCATTATTTTTTCTGTAACTAGAAGCCTGTAAATCCTTCTCCCCCTCACCCATCTTGCCCATTCCCCACTCCCCTCCCCTTGCTTTTAGGTTTATCTTAATTTCATAAGCTAACAAAAAATAAACAGTACCTCTAATTTCAGTTTTACATCTTCTTTTGTCTTAGAAATGTTGTCTAAACTAGAGATGGCCAACTCCACTCCACTACAGTACTGCCCATATATAACCAACCTGAAAGGGAAGAAGAGGAGAAATTTGTAGGACAAAAGAAATAAAGTAGAAGGGGAAGAGGCAGAATTTATTTAAATCTATTTAAAACCACAGTTAGGGAGAATCAAAGCAAATCTTACTTGTCCTGCACCTCTAGCTAGGTGACCCTGGGCAAATTACTTATCTCTCTGAGCCTCTGATTTCTTGTTTCTTTTTAACACAAATCACACATAGACTCATAATATGCTATTAAAAGGACTAATTTTTATTTCTAAATTTGAATGGGATTAATTTCCCACACATTTTTTCAGCAGGTAGATTTTACAAACCGGCTTGATAACTGTTTATGGTAAGTACACATGAATATCACAAAAACAAAATTAAAAATTTCTGTTTATGTTCCTACTAAAGATGAATGTTCTACTGTTTACCCATACTCAGAAAAATTTAACTCAGACAATTTTATTGTCCTCACTAGTCATGACTCCACTCATCAATAAACCTAATCTTTCCTACTTTTTAATTAAGGAAAACACATTATCTGAAAATTGTGATTGAAGGAGCGACCTGAAGGGTGCTGGGTAGAAGGTACCTTGTACTACATGGAGTCTGAGCCTGCTTCAGGAACCGTAGCTCCTCAGTAATATAGGCACTTGGCAGAGAGGTTGGGTAATTTATCGTTTCTTTTAACTCTCCATTGGGGAAAAAGAAAACTACTCATAAGTTCATGTTTAACTGTTGTTGATGCAAAGCAATTCATTAGCCACTTCTTAGTAGTAGGAACTACAGTGCTTAATTTTAAGAGAGAGAATGATATTTTAAGTGAAATTCCTTGGTACTTTCATTAACGTGAGTTGTTCAGAAGAGGGTTTTTTGTTTTTTTTTGTTTTTTTTTTTTTAGAAAGGGAAACTGCCTTCAGCCGTGAATCTAATAATCCCAAATGGAGAATTATAAAATATGAGAGTTGGAACAAGCACTAGGCACCTGCTAATCTACCCCTAACATTTACAGATGGAGCAAAGGAGGCCAGAGAATTAAAATGACTTCCTGAAAACTACAGAACTCAGAGGTAAAAGGTCGATAATGTGAACTTCTGATTTGCAAGGCAAACATCTGGATCCTTTTCTTTCCCCCTTCCTTTTTCCTGATCCACATACAGAACTCAAACTACCACCCTGAGATTAACTGTCCTATGTTCTAGTTACTGCCCAGGTAGTAACTTAATGGACAGTAGAAATAGCTATTTATGAGCAATTTTACTTTTTTTTTTTTTTAAGTAGGCTTCATGCCCAATGTGTCCAACTCATGACCCTGAGATCAAGACCCGAGTTTATATCAAGAGTCAGATGTTTAACTGACTCTTGAGCCACCAAGGTGCTTCCCAGAGGAATTTTAATACTAACCCTCACTATAATCACAAACTGATAGCCACAAAATTTAAAATTTAAAAGTTACCTTTCCTTGTAGTTAATGAAAACTTGATACAAGTTCTGGTCATTTTTATTTACAATGGAATCATGAATCTCTTGCATTAGGTTCCGATGAACTTTTACAAGTTCCTTAAGGAAAAAAATGTTAAAGGAAATTAGAAAACAGGACCAAAAATAAATCACCCCAAACCTAAAATCCCTACTGTTGCTAGACTTGTCATTCAAGGAAATGCTAATGCCCTCAAACTCTAAACCTGCTACTAGGGATGATAAAGAGAAAAGGAAGTGGAGGGGAAGAAGGGAGGAGAGAGAGGTGAAACGAAAAGGGAAGGAAAGAGAAGGGGACAGAAGAGGAGAGAGAGACAGACAAGCCATGTGCATGGGAAACAGCAATTTCAGATCTGACTTTAACTGTCACTGTCCTGTTGGGGAAAAAAAAAATTATCTCACTACTTATTAAAGGGTAATTTATTCCTTGTATAAAAATATGTACAGCTCATTTTCATTATAGTCACTTTAACTTTTTAAATAAAACTATCCAAGTGCTTAATGTTTTATTGACGGGATAAAGTAATGATTCATGTCCTTGGGACATAAAAATGTAGATCTGTACTTTGGTCAATTAGTGGTGTCCTGGTGCTAAGCTAACAATAATCACACTAAATTACTTGAAACTAGACTACTAATGGCATAAATAAAGAGCAGATAAATTGTACTAGGCAGTTTACTAGAGCATCTCAGAAGTCAGAATTTTACCTTTTTCCTGATAAGCAAGTAATTTTCCGTCAGGCAGTAAATACACGTCATAGCCAGAAAATGAGGAAATTCTAATCAAGGTGCCAATTCTCGCATTAGCTCTTCCCTGTACCTTGGTGCACACACCAACTTCACAGCATGCCCTTTCCTTAGTAGGATGGAAAGGAAACAGGAATATGCTGGCCCTGCCACTTTGCTGAAGAGCATGGAAAAGCCATAAGATTAAGGACTGTCAAAGAAGTCCTAAGTTACAGTGACCGTATTAAGGTGGTTCAAGATGCTCATCTTCCTAGAATGTGCAGTTTGTTTTATGCTAAACGTTCATCTCATATTGTGACCTTGTTCTTCCTGCTATGCTACAAATCAATGAGAATGTCTTCATCTGGCCATAATCGGGGACAAGGACAACAACCAGCTACGTGACTGATACACATCAACACTGAATACAACAGAACCAAAATAGCAGGAAACTTGCAGGTAAGACAAGCAAGCTTATGCATAAAAGCTTATATATAGTATACACAAGCTATATATTAAAATCTGAGCCAGTTTTAAAGGTTTAAGAACTTGAATGTTGCCTAGCATGACCTCGGTTGGCATAGTATTTGGTCTGTTTCAATGCTTCTGCATAACTATACTCTAAGGATCATAAGATCATTGTAAGGTGCTCTGAAACCCAAATGCTTACATAATGTGAAGAAAAACACTTACAAATAACCACTAAAACGGATTTTTAAGTCATAAGGAAGTAGTGTATTTCAGAAATGGGAATTAAGGTTAGTACAACTGAAATCAGAGTAGAGGCAAGAAAGTGGAGGAAACGGATGCCCTCAGGACAGTGTGTACAGGATGGGGTTGAGGGGCTGGCAGAATAGAGCAAGGAGTGGGACCGAAGGGGGCTCCCACAAGGCAAAGAGACAGTGGCACCAGGGATTATTTAACTAAGACTACCTCTTCTTGACAAGCAGTTAAGGATAATTTCATGAATCTTATCCACATGTTTTCAGCTTACATTCTGACTGACTTTGGTTGAAGATATGGTAAATCCCTTATTTCTAGAAAATAAGGATATAAGAACTCAAGAGGCAAAAAAGAGTTAAAATTCTTTTATTTAAAAAGTTTTTTTTAATTTACTTTTTTTAAAGTTTATTTACTTTGAAAAAGAGAGAGCAAGCTGGGGAGGGGCAGAGAGAGGGATTGAGAATATCTCAAACAGGCTTCACACCCAGCGTGGAATCCGATGCAGGGCTCGAACCCACGAACCATGACATCATGACCTGAGCCAAAATCCAGAGTTGGACAATCAACCAACTTAGCCACCCAGGTGCCCCAAGATAGTTAAAATTCTTAAAGAATACAGGAGAATATTAAAATAGGAATCTAGAACCCATAAGATGATTGAGATTTTATAGTAATATACCACAATTTTAGCTAGTCTATTTTTACTTACAGGAATGTTGATGAATACTGAATCAAATTCTGCTGCTGTCAGAAATCTTTTTAGCGGTGCCATGAAATACTACAAGGATAGGACAGAGAAATAATAATTAAGCACAATTTATCCTAATCTATATAATAGTTTTTCATTAACAAATGATCAATATTTATTGAAAGTCTATTGTTTATCTGTATAATGAATACCAAGAAAAAAGCAGAAACTATTTTCTCTATCTTAAAGATTTTATACTTAGACATATAAAGACATAAACATAAGTTAATTCATTTAAAGTATAAAATAAAAGGTTTAGACAATGAATACTCCTGAAAGTAATAGTAAAAAAAAGAACACTTTTGGCTGAATTGGCAAAAAAAAAAAAAAAAAAAAAAAAAAAAAAAAAAAAAAAAAAAAAAAAAAAAAAAAGGCAATATTTTGGAGATACAGGACTGATACAAAATACTCTCAAATGCCTTGATCTTCCCCTTCATTCCTTGAGAATGTTAGTTCCTGGCCTATCATATCTCTTTCCATTATGACTCCCATGTCTGTTCTTGGCAATCTCAGTATCTGTGCAGATCATCCTTCCAATAGCCTGGCCTTTTAGATCCTTGACAGCCGGTAATCTTGTGCTCTATCCTAGCTCAGCTCTCTACTCTGGAGGTCATATTCCAAGACCTTCTCATTATCAACAACTACATAGGCTCTATAGCATTAATTTTAAGTAATCAACTCTCTGATCACTACCTCCTACCTTTATAGCTCATTCCTTTAAAGAATTCTTTAACCCCACCGGGTCTGCCAATCCACTGATCATTCTATATCTCTAGTCCTCACTTCCTCCCCACCAAGTTTACACTCCATAAACCATCATGAGAATCACTTCCCTTACCCTTTCTTCTTCCAGCATGCTTTTCTGGAAGAACAAAAACCCTTGTTAAATCTAGCTTGCCATATATGTTGTGCCTGTACCTAAGAAGTTAAATATGAACTAGATCAATAGTCTAATTTTCAATTGAGCCTGTGATAATGCATAATCCTACATTTCCCTAGTCCATTTATTCCCCCTCTCTCCTAAACAACTCTGCAAAACCTTCAACTCTTTTCCTAAACATCCAGAACTATCTCCTTATTCTCATTTTCTTAACCTCTAAATGTAGAACTTGCCAGAGGTGGCCTCAAATCTCTCCTTCATCAACATTCATTCCTTAGGTGAATTCATCCAGTACCACTGACCTTATAAGCCATTGTGTAATGATAATGGCCCCATCTATTTGTCAACCTCTCCCCTTAATGCCAGCCTCATGTATCTAACTCCCTCCTCAACACAGCCCCTTGGAAGCTAATAGACATTGCAAATGTAGAATGTCCCAACAGACTCGTGATTCCCAGACCTGTCCTCCTCAGCTCAGTAACCATCTTTACTACTCACACAACAACTATTCATGCTATAAGCCTAGCGTTCTTGATTGCTCCCTTTCCCATATATCCTTCACCTAATTTATCATCTAATCTGCTCAGCTCTACTTTCAAAATGTATTCAGAATCTGACCATTCCCTACCAGCTCTACAAATACTGCCATGTTCTGTCAATCTGATTATTGCAATATCCTTCTAACTTTTCTCCCAAAAAGTCAGAATACGCTGTGAAGAAACTTACATTAGATCATGTCACTTCTACTCACACACTCTAGCTTTGAGCGAGGTGTTCTCTCTGCCCCCCAACACGATGCGGTAGCTCACCAGCTCTTTGCTCTCCCTGCTTCTCTTCACTCACGCTGCTTCAGACACCTGGACTACTGCTACTCCTTGAAACACACTGAACACTGTCTCATCTGAGGGCCTTTCTCCCAGGAACCGTCATCTCTGGGATGTTGGCATGGCTTGCTCCCTCAATTTCCTCAGCTGTCTGTTAAAATGTGATCTTACTAAAGAGGCCTTCCATCACTGCTTTACATAAAATAATACCAGCCCACCCACATCACTCTCTGTCCTCTTTCCCTGACTGGTTTTTCTTCAGAGAATTTATCACCGCCTGGCCCACTTACTTGCTTAAATTATAAACCCTCCTATGAGACAGAAAGTGTCATGAGAACAAGAGTTTTGTTGTGTCTATTGCTATATACTCAGTGCCTAGCACAGTGCCATTCAGATACTAAGAAATCAGTAACTAGTTGTGGAATAAGTAAGTCTGCTTGTTTTACTGAAAATTAGAAAGCATACAGAAGACACACTGAGTCTCATATATTAACTATAAAATGCACTATTTGGACATCAAAAATAATACCTGATAACTTACTTTTTCTATTGACTCCAACGTTTCTGTGTATTTTTCTTCTGTCTGCTTAATTTCTGCTAGGCAGCAACTTCGTATGTCATTTTCTGGACATTTCTGCAATTAGAGTTATCAAAAAAATAATTTAATCAAACACATGTATTAAATAATCTCTCTGGTAGTACATAGAAAGAACTCAAAACTACTGATTTTCTTAAGCTTTCCATTTTAATAAAACACAACCAAAAGATCTATTTATGGCATTTAAGAAGTATCTGTTCTTAAAATTTTGAACAATGTAAATGAAAAAGGTTTAAATAATTAAAAATAAACTTCTGAGGATACACCCTCTTTATACTGAAAAAAATCTCTTTCATTATGAATGTTATTCATTCTGGAAACATCACCCATGGTGTCATCTAGTGTTCTTAACGTACAGCGTACTTTACAAGTGCTGTAGAAATACTTGCAAAATATCAAAAGGACATTTGATAAATAAAAATCTTAAAATACTTTTTGTGAAGAATTAACATTCTCGTGTTTGGCTCTTCCACTAGGTGTTAAGACTGGAGGTAGCAGAGCATAATATTAAGATGGAAGGTGTGGGCCTCAGGTAGAACTGGGCTCAAGTACCAGTTTTTCTGTAATTCGCTGGTTCTTGTGAATAAGTTACCTATTTTCTCCATGTCTCAGTCTTCTCCTCCACAAAACAGTGAGAACTACAGTTCCAACCCCAAGGAGCTGTAAATGAGCTATCCTGGTAGAGCACCTATAGCACCCTGAGAAGTACACAAGAAGGGCCCCATGCATTTAAATTATCACTGCTGTGAACCCTGCCCCATGGAAACAACCCAGCACTGTCAGCTGAATGAAGACTGTCCTTGGGAGACACACTCAAGACTTTGCTGGTACCCCGAGCAGATGATAATTATATTAGGAGATACAGATGATACCCTGTCACCTAAAAATAGTCAACATACTGCCACAGGCAGCCTGTCAGCTCACACAGTGGGTTAAAGCTCATTCACTACCAAATACAGGCCAGGTAACTTGTTTCCATCCCACAGAAGCTACTCTCCCTATCTGGGGCACTGGACAACCCACCAGCCTTTTATTAAAGCCAAGACTACAGGGGCGCCTGGGTGGCGCAGTCGGTTAAGCGTCCGACTTCAGCCAGGTCACGATCTCGCGGTCCGTGAGTTTGAGCCCCGCGTCGGGCTCTGGGCTGATGGCTCAGAGCCTGGAGCCTGTTTCCCATTCTGTGTCTCCCTCTCTCTCTGCCCCTCCCCTGTTCATGCTCTGTCTCTCTCTGTCCCAAAAATAAATAAACGTTGAAAAAAAAAAATTAAAAAAATAAAATAAAATAAAATAAAATAAATAAATAAATAAAGCCAAGACTACAAAGAGAGCTGAGGAAATTCATCACAGCACTAAAAAATCCCATACTACCACCTAGCTGATGAGGAAAGGGTTTTGTATAAAAAAAAGATTAATAATGGGGTGCCTTGGTGGCTCAGTCAGTTAAGCGTCCGACTTCGGCTCAGGTCATGATCTCGTGGTTCGTGGGTTTGAGCCCCACATCAGGCTCTGTGCTAACAGCTCAGAGCCTGGAACCTGCTTTGGACTCTGTGTCTCCCTCTCTCTCTGCTCCTCCCCTGTTCATGCTCTGTCTCTCTCTCTCTCAAAAATAAATAAACATTAAAAAAAATTTTTTAAAGATTAATAAAAGCCTACACGACTGACCATTTTTTTTGTTTCAAATTATAGGTGAGAAAATAATTCAGAGTAATTCTTTCTGAATGTTTTAGATATTTTTGTGGTAGATTAACCTCTGTGCGTGCATACTGACTATGACAATATCTGAAACTAAATTTATAAAACAGTAAAAATACTAGGAAACCTATAATGAAACAAAAGTAAAAAATACCTCTTATCAACCCCCGAACAAATATGAAGAAATATTCTTTAACATATATTTTATGCTACATCAAATTTAAAGAAGATTACACTGCTTTGTAAGAGAAGATTTCCTTTCATGATAAGAAGAATCCTTTCACAATTCCCTGAAATTATGTTCTACTGCCACTCTGGCACTATTTAGCTGGGTGGCATTTCTCTCTCAGACTTTCCTTCCTGACAAGTAGAATTCAAGGACTAGACCAGAGATTCCCTCTGGTTGTTGTGAACTATAAAATGCTAGGTGTATGTGTCTCCAAATGCAGTAAATCATGATTGTGTAGTTAAAAGCTAGCAAAGGTAAAAAGAAAACAAAAGCCTGTTCTAGCAGAAGTTACACAAATATTTATATTAATTAGTCTTACAAGGAATCACTTTCCTAATAAAATACTCAAAGTAACTTTAACAAGAAGGCAAGTGAGATCCTACGGCTTGATGTGCTTCCTCTGCCTTCATTAAGTCCTCATAGACTTCTCCACCTTCGTCTTCCCCATAAACACAGTCGTAGAGACCTTCTTCATCTTCCACATGGGTTTCACTACAACAAAGGGTAGGATACTCAGGTCATTTTCTCTTATGCAGTAAATGCAACAGCTACATAGAGCCTAGGAGAAAACCCAGAGAGGAAATAAAACATAATTCATGGGAAGAGTCAAAAGGCTTTACATTACGGCTCTTTCCCTCCTAATGAGAACAATGCCAAACAACAGAATCCACCCAGGATGGCAGTGACAGCTAACATTCACTGGGTATTTACCATGTACAAGCACATAAATGATCACTCTGCACACACGACTTCATGTAGCTGGCCCAAGCCCAGTATTCACTACCTGTGCTATCAGGCATTACTATTTGATCCCTTATAGAGATAAGGAAGCTGAGAGAACTGAGGGTTATTTAACTTGCCCGTGGAAACACAGCTTGTCCATGGCAGATCCAGATTTAAAACTTAGTCTTACATTCTAAATGTTTTCATTACTCTATCATATGGCCCACATTTTTCCTATTTCAAGGCCTGAGGTTGATCATATATATTAAGGGGTACAACATGGGGAACACAGGGGGTGCTGGGGACAATCTCATAGTTTATAAATAGTCTTTTAAAAGCATCAGTTTCAGAACGCCTAGGTGGTTCAGTCGGTTAAGCAACTAACTCTTGATTTCGGCTCAGGTCACAATCTGACGGTACTTGAGATCAAGCCCCGTGTTGGGCTCTGCACTGTCAGCGCAGAGCCTGCTTGGGATTCTCTCTCTCTACCCCTCTCCCACTTGTTCTCTTCCCCCTTCCAAAATAAGTAAACTTAAAAAAAAAAATAAGAAGAAAAGCATCAGTTTCTGCAGGGTTATTATTGCCAGTATCTAATGCAGTGGTTTTCCAACCACGCTCCATCCGGTCTACTCAGAGAGTATGTACAGGTCCCTGAGTCATCCAGATCCTACCATTATCTGTTTTATTTGCCTGTTTTCTATGTAAAAAAAAAAATGGTTCCAAGGCCACAAGGCATTTGAAATCAGCTGATCTCCTGATAGTTGAAAAACATCCCAATTTTTAAAGCTTCCGTGGCACTTACACAGTAACTGACTGATGTATCTTTCCTAAATCCTTCATATGATATTGTAAACCCATTCACTCAAAGTAGAAATAGCTGGTTGCACCTATCACATGTTTTATTACTACTCCAGTTTTTCCTTTCAGTTCAAGACTTCTATATATAGCTTCTATTCACTAATAATCCCAAAGAATTGAGATTAATACATTTAGACATGTTAGAAAGAAGCATTAACCTTTCTCTGAAAAAAAAAAAAATCAACTCCTTCAATACTGCCAGCCCTTAGCACCTATCTTGGGCCTGTGCAGATAGAACAGTATAAAATTTATATGTACAAAAATAAGAACACTGTAACTGTAAATGTCACTCTACAACTTGGGAGCATTTTTCAAAATAGGTTCAATCACAAGGTTGTCTATGTTGTCATGAAGGATTATTTGGAAGCATTTGATAGGAATGAACTGTTTCAAACATTCAGAAGAAAGAAAGGCGCCTTAAGGGAGACTTATCTGGTAGTAACAAATATGTCAGAGAAGTCTGCTCTCAGAAAAATTTGTTCTAGAGTTAGCGGTCTACCCAACCATTCACTCCACAGACATTTTCTAAGAACCTACTGAGGTCCAGACTCTTCAGTGCTAAGAATATAGATCAAGAAGATCTGAGGACTCTCCCATAGTCTAGTGTAGGTAACAGCATGTGAACACATAATTCTAGAAGTACAACAGAGCAGATGAATGCAGAATGTAGGAGTAAAAAGGGACAAAGTAGGACAAAAAGGGAAAGACTAACTCTGACTAAAGAAGTTCGGGAAGGCTTCACAACAGATATTACATCTGAACTGGATCTTGAATGTATTTATTTATTTAATAGGTATTTGCTAAATAAATACTACCATGTTCCAGGAGATATGGTTGTACACTAGGCAGACACAGTTTCTGCCCTCAGAGGTGACACATACTCAGTGAGGAGAAGGACATTCCAGAAAAGGACACCAACATGTACAAAGGCAAAAGCTATGAAGAGCCTGGCAACATCATGAGTGGCATCTCATTCAGGTAAGTGAATGTGACCCCCAAAGGGACGACTAAAACCAACCTGAGAAAGGCAGTACACCCTGTAACCTCAACCTTACCTGGGCATTTGGGATACAAGAGGAGGTACAAGAGGAAGCTCTATACAGCAGTAGAGTGGAGGGAGCAAGAAGATAATAAGCCCCGAAATGAAACCCTGTGGGTAAGAGATAGCGAGAGCCATAACTAGAGTGAGTAAAGGCATATGCGGAGAGAGAGAAAGAGACTGCATCAGGTGCAGTCAACCAGACTTGGCGACCAGTCAGAATTAGAGAGAGGGGGGAAAGGAGTGGAGGATGCCACTTAGCTTCCTACTTTGTAAAATTGGGCAGATGGCAAGTCACAGATAACAGGGGAGAGTTCAACCGGTCTGAACACTTTCTATAATGCAAAGGATAGGAAGGTTTGAGGAATCTATGAGAGAGCTAGGAAATGAAAGAAGAGGCTCTGCATCAAAGAGGACCTGTTCAACAAGAAGATAGGCTGTGAAATCCATTTCTCTGTTACTCCTAATCCCAGCTCTGCTGCCTTTGACCACCTCCCGCCCCCCCCCCCCAAAAAAAACACCTCATCTTGCTTAAGTGTTGCTTTTGACTTTTTCCAGTGAGGGTAGAGGCACATACTGTATGAATACACACAAATTTTTCTTTAATAATTGTAGGAGATAGGACACCTAAAGCACAAGCAACAAGATCTAAAAATAAACAAGCGGGACTGCATCAAACTGGAAAGCTTCTGCACAGCAAAAGAAACCATCAACAAAGTGAAAAGACAACCTATGGAGTAGGACAAAAATATTTACAAACCATCTATCTGATAAGCAACCCATACAACTCAAGAACAACAACAAAATAACCCAATTAAAAAATAGGCAAAGGATAGGACTAGACATTTCTCCAAAGAAGATATATGAAGGGCCAACAGGTACATGAAAAGATGCTCAACATCACTAGACATTAAGAAAATGCAACTTAAAACCACAACGTGATACCATCTCATGCCTGTTAGAATGGCCATCACCAAAAGACAAGAGATAAATGCTGGCATGGATATGCAGAAAAGAAACCCTCATGCCCTGTTGGTGGGACTGTAAATTGGTGCAGTCACTGTGGAAAACGGTATGGAAGTTCTTCAAAAAATTAAAAATAGAAATACAATATGATCCAGCAATTCCACTTCTGGGATATATCCAAAGGAAACAAAAACACTAGCTCATAATGGTATCTGCACCTTCATGTGCAGCATTATTTAGAATAACTAAGATATGGGAACAACCTAAGTGTCCACTGATTGATGAATGGATTAGGAAGTTGTGGTGTGTGTGTGTGTGTGTACATATATATACACACACACACATATATATGTATATGTATATACATAAATTTGTATATATATGTATATGTACATATATCATCCACATATATATATACATATACACACATATATAAGTATATATATAAATCTGTATATATATGTGTATATATATATATGTATACACACACATATATACATACACACACTGTAATATTCAGCATAAAAAATGAGGAAATTCTACCATTTAAAGTAACATGGATGGACCATGAGGGAATTATGCTGAGTGAAATAAGTAAGACAGAGAAAGCCAAACACTGTGTGATCTCACTCCTGTGTGGAATCCAAAACAAAAACAAAAACAAACCAAAAAAACAAAACCTGTCATAGAAAAAAGAGATCAGACTTGGTGGGGATCAGAAGTGGAAGCGGGAGTGAGGGATCATTGGAGGAAAGTGATTAAAAGGTATAAAGTTCCAGCAATAAGGTAAATAAGTACTAGGGATGGAATGTTCGACATGATGACTACAGCTAACACTGCTGCATGGTATACAGAAAAGTTGTTAGGAGAGTAAACCTTAAGAGTTCTCATCACAAGGACAATTTTTTTTTTTACCTTTTTTCTTTCAATTGTGTCTATGTAAGTTGATAGGTGTTAGCTGACCCTACTGTGGCAATCATTTCATGATATATGTAAATAAAACTATATACTGTACTCCTTAAACTTACACAAGGATGTAGTTCAATTATTTCTCAATAAAACTGGAGAACAGTTTTTAAAGAATCGTAGGAGTGACACACATGCATGTGTGTGCATGCAAATGCACCCACACACACTCTCAAGATTGGGCTAGAATGGTTTGGGGTTTTTTTACATTCAATCCCATACTAAGGGAGCTTTTCCTGCTAACAGTCTGGTCAATAATTCCTGACCTGTATAAAATGAAGCTGGGGGGAGTGGGAAAGGACACCTGTGATTCTTCCAGTGGTCAACAATTCTACAATAATCTATGTTACTTCTCCCATGTCCAGGCCATTTATATATGGGCAAGAGTGACACCCTGATCATCAAGGTAGAAAAAGCAAAGACACTGTGCTGCCTAGCCACCTCACACCTCCATTCCAACCTGTGTCTGTTTCTCTCCACGTGAGAAGAGAATGATTCCCACTGCAGTGGAGAGTAGGATTCCCACTGCAGTGTTTGTTCCAGGGGCTTCCCTTGGGGTGACTCACCCCCAAAAGTCAGAGTTAAGGATATGATCCATAGAGATCTTAACAAAGCTAAGACTGAAAATCAAGGTGTCATAGCAAACTCAAAAGCAAGCACCTGCAGGAATAACCATATTTAGACCTTCTACCACCAGATGGAAAGTTGAAGCAGGCTGCATCTCACAGAACATGAGCTGCTATCTTAGAGCAGCTGGGTCAGGAGCCCAGGTTTCTCCAAACTTAGCTAGGGATGCACCCTCACAGGGTTTATCCTGACATCCACACAAAAAGATGGGAAAAAGCTAGGAAAATTAGTAGCTGTAAGCAACAATTGGCAGGGCTCAAAAAAGAACATCATAATAGCTCTAGAAATAATATAATCTTCCTAACATTTCAGAGGATTTGGTTATAATACCAGTAACCTTACAGTCACTTTATGAAGACTGTAGCCAATTCAATGAGCTGATCAGCATCAATCTTGCTCAAGATCCGTGAGTTCTTAGAGGTGTTAACAAGAGATAAGAAACTATCCTTAATTCACATTTAAAATATAAGACTTCAAGGCCCATGCAAGTGAAACCTATTCTGGGAAGAGCATCTCAGCAGCCATCCCAGAGTCTCCTGTCAGCACTGTCCTCTGCTCTTCTACAGGAAGTTCCCAGATGGGCAATTCAAGGTGCTTCCTGGGGTCACTGCCATGAGGAAGAGCCTCAGCTCTGGAGTAAGAAGTGTTTGGGTTCAAATCCAAATACTAAAATTTACTAGCTATGACCTTCAACAAGTTTCTTAGCTTTCACAATTCAGTTTTCTCCTTCATAAATTGGGATACTAGGAACAACCTCATTGTGTGTATATACCACAAAATAATGCATGTAACATGGTTATGAGCTCTCAATAAGCTCTTACTTATACAACTAAACAGCTCGGGCCTGAAGCATAATGCTGAAACAGTAGATGCTTAATGCAATTCTGCTTAGTCATTCAGAACACAAATATTTATCGAGGACCTACTATTCACCAGATGCTATGTAAAGTTCTAGGACGACAGCCAAGAACAAGGTTAAGTCCCTGATCTCACCAAGTTGACCTTCGAACGAGGACGTGGACAACAAATGAAGCAAACAAAGATGGTCTCAGGCAGTAGTGATTGCCTTAAAACCATATAGCTAGGTAAAGGGCCCACAGCAATTTCAGATGCAGTCGTCAGGAAGGCCTCTCTCTGGAGAGACATCCGAGCAAAAATGGGAAAGGTGACGGGTCAGCCATAAGGGCAGAAGGAGCAAGTGCAAAGGTCCTACAGCAAGAACAAGGTTGGAGTGCTAGTGTATTAGGATGGATGAATGGATGAATTTCCACAGAATCTGAATCCCTCCTGGAGCATAATATATTTCTTATTATAATTCTTTGCAAACAAGCCTGGTCTTTGTCATTAGTTCCTTGAGGGGTGGGGATCATGTCTTATATTTATTTGTAATCTGCACAAGTCACTCAATCAGCAGAAGATAATCAGGTGCAAAGGCCTTTGCCTTTCCTGACTATTAAATAATAAAACCCAAAAGGATTCTCTGTGCAGAACAAACACCATCTAATGAAACTCCCTAAATAACTCCAGCCCACACTAATCTCGCCCTTCCTTGAACAGACAAAGCACGCACTATCTGCCCTACAATTCTAGTAGATCCTGTTTCTTTGTCCTTGTTCCTTAATTGTCCACCCCAGTTTTACCCACCACCTCTAGTACGCCTTTGAGAAACTTCCAAATTCGACTTCATTGCAGTCTGTTTTCTTTACTTGTCTTAAGGACTGGCACAGTGTCGGGCACGCCATAGGAACTACAAAGTACGTTCTCTCGTGAAGCTTTCCATCACTAGTTTGAGGTGAATTCTTACACGTCTTAATCATTAAGCCACTTTTCCACTTCTTAAAGCTATTTTAACATCCATCGTTAAAATCCACCAAGAATGCAAAAACTGGCAGTGGTTTAATTTTGCTGAAGATGCCCAACATACTCTATTAAATCAGGAAGGCCTTTGTAAATGTCTTCATCATTAACACTTTCTTCTGTTGGGAAGGGCCTAGGAGAGAGGGAGAAGGGAGAAAAGGGTGAAATTATCAACAGCTAGGCTAGGCATTTACTTCTCACTAAATGCATGAGCTCAGCTGCCACCAAAGTGGTCAGGTCAGTCACCATGTGTAACACAACATCCTGGGGGTCTCCCAAAGTGCCTGTCCCGTGGCTGCCCAGGGAATCCCACAGGGAGGCTGTGACACCTGCTACCCCAAATTATCTGGAGCAATTACCAGTGGTCATCGCAGTCACGTGAGCAGCTGTGGACATGCTAAGGTGCCCATCTGATGTGCCACACACCACTTACCTGCAGGCTCACCACAATGCGGCCACTGCAGCTCCCCAGTTCAGAGAACAGGCAGCCACCCAAGCGCCCCTGTGTTCAGCACCATCTCTTTTCACCTATGGAATCTGATCTGACTGACAGATAGTTTGGTAACAGTCATCTTCATGTGACTCAGCTCACCAAATATAGAGAAAAATTATTAGAAGACCAACATATCATGCCCTCAATATATGATTGATTCTTGCAGACTTCTCTACTTGGACAAGATATTTATGTTGTGTATTTTATTTTCATTTATTGGACAAAGGAGGAAACCCAGACCTTAGGAAGAGTAGGATGTTTTCTTTGTCCGCTATTAAAAGAAAAGCACTTTCATTTATCCCCTAATTCCTAGCCATTGACTTTTTTTTGCCTACTGTACTATGAGCTTTTTCATAACACCCACATAATGCCTGAGTGCATGTCTAACACAGGCATAATTATACTATCATGCCAAAAGTTTTACTTTCTTTACATGCAGCCAGCATGTCACATTTCACAAAAATAAGAGGATCCAACAAAATAATAAATGAGCACTAAGTGATAACTATATTTAATATACTGAAAAGCAGATTTTCACACTGCCTTATGGATTAATTGAATACTTAAGACATTTAAAGAAGCTACATTTTTCAAGTAAATTAAAATGTGAGAAATGCTAAAGTTTCAAAATACTTTTTTTTTAAATAAATTCCGGCACATTTGATTATGCTCTTATATGAAGTTCACTGCAGAAAATTTGAAAATATAGATAAGAATAATTAAGAAGGAAAGAAAAACCTTCTAATATATATGCTTTCAGAATCAAATATGCATAAATACATCAAAATAGAATCAGGCTATTGATTTCAAAATCTGTTTACATATAATGACATAAAATAAATATTAAGATGGAAAGATGAATCATGTAGAGCAAATTGCAAGGTGTTGAACATGTACCCAGCCTAGAGATTACTTCTGTAGGAAGCTGCCAAAGTCACAGCCCATTTCCAAAAAAGGGTACGCAGGGTATCCTCCCTGAGGTCATTAGGCTTTGTATCCAGGGAAGGGGCTGCCTAGTTACTGCTGATCAGTCCTGTAAAATGTGCTTATATCCTCTTCTTAAAACCTGAATGTGAGTTGGACACAGAAAAATAGAAGCAACAGAGGGAGAGAGACAGCATCAGAGAGCCCCATAAAGGCTGGAGACTAAGGTATGGACCTCTGAGAAAACAAGGTAAAAAATGAGATCCATTCCATTTCTATGTGGCCTAGCTGTGTAGCTACTGAAACTTTCTATCATTAATGTTACTAAAAATACGATTTTCTGACTGATATAACTTGAGAATGTAGTAAACAGAAAAAGTCCAACATGATATACACATCTACATTTATTTCCATGCTTACTGACTGCATAATACTCCATTGCACAGAGATGGCACAATTAATTTAACCTATTTCCAACTTTTTCACTTAGTACCAATCCTCAACACATATCCTTGTACACATATTATTTTATATTTGTCTGATTTGCTTTTTGAATTCCTGAAATTTGTGAGTCATGGTTATGGACTATAGGAAATAAATGTACTACAACATCTTTTAAGTATGTATTTACTTGAGCATTTGTGTTTGTTTTGATGAATCGTATGTAATGAAATGAAATGTTGGAGGAAATTAAGAAAACAAAGAACCCTACCAGTAACAGTCAGTAGTGAATGGACAATGATGTTTAGCCAATGTATCTTATTCAACTCTATAAATAAGTTCTTACTTGCTCAATTGATTTCAAATGTGTAGTAGGCACTGAAATACCAGGCACTGTGTGTGCATGAATGAGATATGGTCCCTGTATGCAAAGTCCTTTACAAATAGTAACCATTCAGTAAATAATCATTACATTCATTGAGCAAATGAACACTTGAATCAAGCTTACCTGATTCCTGTGGCCAACGCTATAGGTGTGCGAGAAAGTCGTGACAGTGTTTCTATAACCTGAGAAAAAAAGGAAAGCGTTAATTAGACATGTACTTCGGGAAAGATAAGAATTTTTTTCAAAGATAATCTTACAATCTAAGATTAACAATGGCAGCAGAAATGTAAATTTGCAGATACCAACAAGTACAGAATGGGAAGAGCGGTTTCTGAAAATTATAAACTCCTGGGTTATAATCTGGTCCCTTCTTTAACTGTTACTCTAAGCAGATTGTTAAGCATCTGGTTTACAGTTTCCTTATCATTAAAGCAAGAAGTTAGATAAGGTAATAGTAAAGGTCTTCTATCTCCACTTCTACAGAATCTGAAAGATCTTGTAAAGTTGTTCTGTCCAAGTACAGTAGCCACTGGCCACACGGACAAGCTATTTAAATGTTTCTTAGTTGTGCTAGCCACATTTCAAGTGCCCAGTAGCCAAATCTGGCTAGTGGCTACTGTATTGCAATACACAGTCATCAAACATTTGCATCATCACAGAGAGTTCTACTGGAAAGCACTGCTATACAGCCAAGTGGTTTAGAGTGCGGGCTCTTGAGCTAGTTCAAACGAGTTCAAATCCTGGCTTTACATTTCATTAGCCAAAAACCTCCAGCAAACTGCCTAACTACCCTGGGCTTCAGTTTTATCATCTGGATACTGCCTATAATCATAGTTAGGTAATTAATAATCATTAGGTTACTGTAAGAATTAAGAAGATAATACATGAAAACTGTTTAAATGATAGCTATTCTTTATAATTGCTAACTTTAAGAAAATTATTCTGAGTATTTTCAGAAAGAGTTTCCTAACCCCTTGACTATCTATCTATCTATCTATCTATCTATCTATCTATCTATCTTAATGATTACTTATGAAGACCTTGGTACCTACGCCTAAATGTGCCCTGCTATAGTTTTAGAACCTAGCGATTTTACCCTTCCTTGCCACTTTTACACCTAAGATTATCTCGCTCAAAGAGTTAGTGATGAACCCAAAGAGCTAAAATGTATTTTTCTCATGAAACCTATTTCTATGATAACAGATATAATTTGTGCTAACTCTCAAAACTAAACAAAATTTAAAGAGGTTCTTCTGTAAGTCCTATTCAAAATGAGGGGTGCGGAAGGCAAAAATCTCTCTCTGAGCTGAGTTCATCTTCTAATTCCTCAGTTCAAATACCAAGACCTACTAGCAATGTCTCAGTACGCCACAGAAGTCTCTTAAAGAGTATTAGCCACACATGTACCTATCTCTTGCCTACTTCAGGAAGAAGTACACTGCTGAAGTTATAAACAGATAGCTCTGGAGCAAGAGAATCTGGTTGAGCCCTGGCTCACAGATTTTAGATAAGCTCACCTTTCCTAAGCTCTATAAAATGTGGGTTAGGACAACTAACTACCAGCCTCCCCATGGAGTTACTGAAAAGATTAAGTGAGATAATGCCCATCAAATGATTAACCCAGTAAAGGTGAACTTTTATTATATAAAATTATCATTATAGACAAATAAAGTTTAATTGAAAGACTATGCTATTTCTTCCTGGTTTAACTTTTTTGAACATCTGATATGAAAGCAAGACACAATCAGGTATCAATTAATTCCCCATAATAAAGATAAAGGAATCTTCAGTGAATCTGTAAATTCAGAAGATCATGAATGAACAAATAAGTTTATCAAAATAAGCTAACTCAAAAATAACCATTTGCTAAAATTCCAAAATTATGCATTACTGAGAAATATCTAGCTTTTGGAAGATTCTGAAATAATCTAAGTAGTAGACACATGAATTAATAGTACTGTCAAATTTTAGCATCAACCTTATCCTGATGCACACCGTTTTAAACCTGTGGTGTGAAATCTGCTATCTGAAATTCTATTTTACGCTATGGTCCCAGCATTGCCATTACTCAGAAGAAAAACAGCAATAGCATTAGTATTAGGTATTTTACGTGATATATTTCACCACTGCTATTTTACATTATAATAGAAATATATTTTATTCTTTGAGATATTTTCTAAAATAACTATAATGTATCTAAAGGTAAGAATGTATTTTGTGTTCCTTTTCCCACCATTGGTACTATTCACAACCATCCCCATCCAAGACCGTTGAGTTTTGTGTACAATTGTCCACCAGGGGGAGCCAAAAGACAGTCTATCACTTTAGTCCTGTATTACATGTTTATAAAGTACAAACATTTCTGAAAATCACCAAGATGAAATCAACTCCTATTATTTACTTAAAAATATTACTTATTACCATTCAGTAATAGAAAAATAAAGATACAAATTCAGTGGACAGGAAAGATGGAAGAATAATACATAGCATGTCTTAAAGTAAATCTCTCAGGACCATCTCTCAGTTTTGTGTCTATCTGATCGTACATCAAGTCCATCCATTAATTCTAAGTTTAGCCAAAGCAAATAAGTCTGTTTAGTCAATGCAGTGTTTTTAGAACAGTGTGTATTCTATAAAGGTGGAGCATATCCGGATTTGGAATAGACAAGTATAAAAATTAATGCCAGATTCTCCTGACATTAGAAACATTCATTCAAGAATATTTACAAAAGAAAATATCCCCAAGGGCAGCAAGACTATTTTCCCTGAAATTTATTGATTTATAAATTGTTACCTCAACATAATATGAAATTACAGACATGAACTCACAAAGGGGTAACTAGTCAGAACATTTGCAAGCTAATAGGACAACCACCAACTACTAAATCCATGTTATTCCTTGTTTGTTAAGAAGAGCAGCATTTTTAAGGAAAGTAAAATATTTCCAGATAATATAAGTAACAGTTACTGTGGGAGGAAGGTGGAAGAGGTATGAAGGGCTTCTATATGCTTGCTTTAGAAGGTGGGATTAGATCCCAAAATCTATGAAAGATCATTTATAAAGTTTAAAAAGGAAGATACCCAGGTCAAAACTGCATTTTTAGAAGATCATTCAGCACAGTGAAGGATAAACAGGGGTAGAAGGACATGGGATACAGACAAGGGGTCATGAGACCTGGGGGGGGGGGGTTTCAATCATCTAGTTAAGAAATGAGAAGTCTACACCAGCAGCAGTTGAGATAGAGAAGAGGTGGAAATGTGAGATTTAAGAAGAGTGGCTGATGTATTGTGGAGGCAAAGTGAAGAACTCAGGACAACCTGGATAAACCTTTAAAGTATAGAGGTGGCCAGCTCCAAAGCCATCTACTGGGATGCTCCTGAGCAGGACACTTATTCTGTGTCTCTCCTCATGCTGACCATGAACATCCTGAATTCAGATAGGCCATTCCCTCTACCACAGTCTTCTCTGACATCTCCCACTCCAGTCTGGGTCCTTCGTGTTCCCGTAGGACACAACTCTGCCCTCTACCTATCACCTTTGCTGTTTAAAACATCTGAAAAGGACTCATGTTTATTTTGTCAAACTGAAATAACACAGTAACACACAGAAGTTGTCCCCTCACTCCCACCATACACACCTCTGCTTAAAGGGCACCAAAGCTAAAAATCTGGTGTGACTCCTGCACTATTCTGTTCCCTTTTCTTCATGATTATTATTTTAGGTAATATGTTTCTATTATACAGACTTTTCTACAACCTGAGTTTGTCATTTAATAATATATCCCAGACAGCTGTGTCAACACATACAGATCTACCTCATTCACCTTAATGCTGTACAACATTACAGCATACGAGTGTAACAATGATTTGACCATTCTGCTGCCAATGAGCTTTCTCAACATTTGCCTATTAGAACAATGGTGGCATTACCATCCTTGCCAATTATCTTTTCAATTGTGTGCAGGTATTTCTAGAGGAAAGATTCTTAGACAAGATGAGGTTGTCAAAAATATAACCATTGCTCTTCAAAAACTTTTTATGCATTTATACACCGCTGAAGCGTATATTAAGATAACAAGGCACTCTAATGACCTATTTACTGTCTCTCCATTCAACAATGAACAACACCTCAAGGTAAGGGAACTCAAACTGCTTCTTCACTGTTCCACTCTTACCACCTAGCTCACAGCCAGGGTCGTAACAACCACTTAACACAAAAATATTTGTTGCTCAAACAAATGAATGACTAATACTTACCTTGCAAAATTGTTGCGAGGATTGGGGATGATATGTGTAAAAATATGTAAAGAGCTTAGCCTGGCACAAGCAGGGAATGAATGAATAATTGAAGAAGGAGCCCATTATGAAAATTAAATATTAAATATGAAAAAGAATTGCCTCTCTCCTCAAGTCTAGAGGCAGTATATACAGTGGCAACCCCTTCCCATCAAATTTCTCCCCTTAATGGTGATTTTAATTTAGTTTGAGCTCTTTACTTTTACCATCCCCATTAGTAAGTTTAAAAGCCATAAAAGTTTTCAATAAGAACTGTAAACTAATAAAGCTACCAATTTTAACTATTCTCTTCATGAGACCTTCAAGAAAATTCTTACTTTCTGCTTATCCAGCATATTCATGCTGTTGATAATGTAGTTTGTAATTAAAAGAAGTCATCCATGCAAAAGCAGTATGTTACAGTTACTTCTAAGTTCCAGAGTTAAGGAAGCCATGGCCATAGACAATAACCACAGACAGCCATAGGAACCAACACACACATCTGCCAAAAAGTGCTAGTTAATTATGGATTTATCTACTTGAGTTCTCTACCTTGAAGTTTTACCTCTTAAACCTCTCCTTGGGGTGCCTGGGTGGTTCAGTCGGTGAAGCATCCAACTCTTAATTTCAGCTCAGGTCATGATCTCATGGT